CTATTTTCTGATTCTCAAATTATGCCATACAGATGAAATGTTACATTTGCATAAGCGTAACAAACACATGATTCATTTCATTCCTTCCCTCCACACCTATGGATAATCTACACAGCCACAGAATCCTCATCACAACACTGCTAAAAGTCACTGCCAAACCAATTTGACATCCTAGTTATAAAAGAATGGTTATAGTAACTTGGAGTCAATTCTTCATATAATCTTTATATTTTAGTTATCAAAATTATTAGCTTTTCATTATGTCCTTCTTAAACTACCTTTCTTATCCTGATGTCTAAGATAGTAGTGACAGAAATGAAATACTGCTCTTATGTAACAAATGCCTCTCAAAAACAGTCCTTCAATGAGCCGGGGATTTAGCTCAGTGGTTCCAGCGCCTGCCGCACAAGAGCAAGGTCCCGAGTTCGATCCCCGGTACCAAACAAAAGCAAAAAAAAGTCCTTCAATATAATGAAATCCACTCATCCAAAAGTAATTTAAGAAAATTTCCAGTTAAATGTGGCAGATGAACCATATGTTTCTATCTTTCTCCCCACCAACCCCACTCAAAGAGTTAAAAACTAATTTTCAGCAGATTGAAAGTGAATGAAAAACTCCTAAAGAATTCAGCACAGCTGTGGCTGAGCTTACAACCTCACAGACCTAAAGAAAGAAATGCTAATGAGAAGAAGCAAGCCTATTTTCATCCCCAAAATCCTGGAAAGAGTTCAGGGCTTAAACCAAAAGGTATATACAAATCTAGAAGTGAAGAGGCAGGACCAAAAACAGGAAGATTGGCTAAAATATCCCCAGATCTCCTGTTCCTCTCAATATAGCCAATAAAGAACCAGAGGTTTATTTTCTGGGGTAATGTGGGTTCAGACTGAACAAACTAAATACAGTGAATTAGGGATAAAGGGCATGTGTGGCTAACGAGAGAGTGTGATACTTATGCATAGTTCAGTGGAAGACCCCAGTCCACTTCCTCAGCACTGCTTTTTGAAGTTGATGGTAAGAGTTCTGGGATTTAGCTCAGTGGCACCACACCTACCTTGCAAGTACAAGGTCAAGTTCAATCCCGGTACTGAAAAAAAAGTTGTTGCTAGTAGAATTACAACTCCTCACTCCTTTCCAAAACAGAATGTTTCTCTGGAAAATTGAGTGACCGCTATAAAAGACTTCTAATTACTGACATGTTTGTATATTCTCCAACAACAAAGCAAATTTACAGCCTATCACCTAACGGTAACAGTAAGCCTAGTGTGTCACTTGCTACTTCTACATAGCATCAGATTTTTAGTGCCTCACCCTTAAATGATAGCCCAGAGCACTCAATTTTGAAAAGAAAGTCTCCAAAGTAAAAAAAGAGCCAAAACCATAAAACTTAGAAAAAACAAAGTCAATAAAGATTAAGAGAAAAAGATCAAAATTTTATAATCTATATCATTCTCAGAAGATAAAAGATACATATCTATAATCAAACAATGCTATGAAAAAGCAAAGACAATAACAAATAGATCTAGGAAATTTAAAAAATAGGATAGTCAAAATTAAAAATTCAGTTTAAGAACTGGATAAACTACTCTCCAAAAGTAGGACAAAAGATAAAAATAGAATATAAAGAGGGAAAAAGAGTCTATATAGAAGACACAAGTGAACTGGAGTTTCAGAAGAGAAAAAGAACAAAGACCAATATCAAAGAAATTGTCTAAAAGTTTTCAAGAACTTAAGCACATAAGTCTTCAAACTTAAAAAGTATCCGGTGAACATCAAGCACAATGCATGAAGAAATCCATACAAAAGGATATTTGCCCTATTTCAGACGAGACAAAAACAGAAAGACCCTGTCTTCAAAACAGAAAGAGAAGCAGAATGGCACTAGACTTCCCAACACTAATAGTCCAAATGAAAAACAATGGAGCAATGCTTTTTAAAAAAATCATCTTCTACATATGTGTAAATACTGAATAGTTTCTCTAGTGTGAGAAACTGAAAATGTAATTAAGGATACACATGGATGAAATGGCCTAATAACATATTTCTCCGATTGTGTTTCCACTGCGTGTCATATGACTGTATCAAAATTTAAATTAGGCAGGGCCAGGGATTTAGCTCAGTGGTTCCGCCACCTGCTTCGCAAGTGCAAGGACCGGAGTTCGATCCCAGGTACCAAAAAAAAAAAAAAAAATTTAAATTCGGGAGAAGTTTGCCTTATGTGGAATCTGCTAACTAACTGGAGTTTTTTTCCAGATCATTATTTGTTCAATGTTGGTTTTGGGGACCTTTCTGAAATAAATCACATCCTCTGGTGTCTTGTTGGTGCTTGAGATGCTTTTTTAAGTTATATGGAAAAATGTTTAAGTGCTTTTCA